GAGAGAGAGAGAGAGAGAGAGAGAGAGAGAGAGAGAGAGAGAGAGAGAGAGCTTTCTATCCTTTATATTGTATGCAGCCTATCCACCCTAGGAAGTGTAGAACTCGCACCCTTAAAACCAGCACCACACACTCTAGATTCAGCCACCCCCTCTGAAAAGCCCACCCCCATGACTACATGAGACTTCATTCGTCCCAATGTGCCTGGCTTGGGTCTGGCTGCTGTGTTCAGCTTCTTCCTGCCGTAGCCCATGGAAGTGAACCCACTGTGCCCCTCTGGGAAGATGCTCTGCTCCTGGATTAGCTGGGTGGTTCTGGTCCCTAGCCTCTCTGCAGGGACTCCAGCTGCAGAGTTTCACACCAGGTCTGTATGCCAGGCCTCAGCTGGGTCCCGAGGGGCCTGCTGGGGGTGGCAGAGCGGAAGCTCTCCCCACACACACACACACACATGTCAGGCCTGGACTGGTCTGGAGGGGTCCCGAGAGCAGGGCAGGTGGTCTCACTTACACTCCAGGCCTAGGCTGGATCCGGGGAGGTCCAGCAGGTGGCAGAGTGGAAGCTCTTCCACATACACGTGGGCCCTGGGCTGGGTCTGGAGGGGTCCTGAAAGCAGTACATGAGACTTTAGAGGGATTTCTAGGCATAAGCCATAACATGAAACAAAACTGACTTTGAGTATTGATATTCAATGCTGTAACCTTGCTGAACTTATTCGTTACCTTCAGTGGGTCTTCTTTTAGACTGAAGAATTTCCAGTACAATAACACACACTGTCCACAAGTTGAGATAAGGTAACTTCTTTCTTCACAGTCTGGGTTATTTTCTTTTTCTTTTCTTTGCCCAATGTATGGGCTAGAAAATCTAGGATAATGTTGAATAGAAATGCCCACAGCAGACATTTTTGTCTTAATCATAGAGGAAAAGGAATTCAGTCTTTCACCAGTAAATGTGACATCAGTTATGGGTCTTTAGTAGATATTCTTTATCAAGTTGAATAACTTTTCTTTTATATCTAATTTATTGAGAGATCTGATGCTTTTCAAGTGCTCAATAACCACTTGTCCTTTTGGCTACCTGGTGAACACATAGCTTCAGAGCAAGGAGTCCTGGCCAAGAAGCCCACATACTGAGGGGAGTATGAACTTGGATGGGAAAACTCAATTTACGTTTGTTTTCACTGACTTCCATTGAACTCCAGCATTTACTTCAATTACAAAATTAAGCAGTGAACCACAGCCATACCAGCCAGTAGTACCTCAGTTTCTTTCCTTTTTTTTTTTTTTTTTTTTTTTTTTTGGTGGAACCGGGGATTGAACTCAGGTCCTTGTGCTTGCCAGGCAAGCGCTTATTCTACTGAGCTCTCTCCCCGGCCCCAGCACCTTAGTTTCTATCACTGTCCTAGACTGGGCTCCAGAAATCTGATCTTCAGATGGAGATTTGCAAATAAGCAAATAACTCATGTATACCGTTAGACTAGCACTGACAAGGAAGCAAAAGCAACAGGATTAGGGAGGAGACAGTGAGCTGTCATCCAGTCACAAAAAAAGGCCTCGGGGATCCCAGGGGGAGCTGTGCCGCAAGGATGGCCTTACGGGACTGCTCTGAGTTGGGGTGAGACAGTCCCATATGCTTACTCTTTTAAATTATAATATGTATTACAGCTAGCTCACATATATAGACCACAATTTTTTTAATATTGTGATGACTATATTTCATTATAATTGGTTGTGTTTGTACTCTTATTTATTTTGTACATCTGCAATATTGTTCTAAGTTTCCAAAGTGAGCTCATGACATGAAACGTTAAGAAGCCACACTATGAAGATTATGCAGTAATCCTGGGAAGGCCAGGGTCACACATGGTACCCTCTTTAAGTTATGGACATGCATCTCTTCCTTTGTACCATGATCCTTCGTCTGTATCAAAAGACCTGGCAGCCTCCTCTATTCTCAAATGCTCCTGCTCTCAAAAAGGTACGTTGTTTGATAGCTTCTCATGACTTCTCTTGCAAGGTTCTCCGACCATCTGATGAAGATAGTCACATTGTGAAAATCGAAAAGCCCAGTGAGAGGAGTAAAAGGAGAGAAAGTGAGGTCCCCCACCGGGGCCCTGCTGGCCAGAGAGGCTTCAGCCTCTTCCAAGCAGTGGGGTACCTCACAGGTGAAATGAAAGAATGCAGGGACTGGCTGAAAGGTAAGTAAATGCATGGGAAAGAAGCATGGGCCAGGCAAGAGACAGCCCCCCCACACACACACTACCTCCTCACTCTCCCTGGATAGAGGTTTCTGCAGATGGAAGTGGAGGAGCACAGCATCCATCCCTAAGTTGACTCCAAGAAGGCATAATATAGTCCATTAACCTGGAATTCCCACGGCTGTAGAACTGAATGCATCTCACTGACCTAAGTTCTGGGGAAATTGTCCATTCCTATGTGGAATAGACGTAGGACAACCACATGAGCAGCATAAAAGTCATTTCCAAACATGCTGAATGGTCAATCCTCCATTTGCTCCACAGCCACTTATTATGTGCCAAGAAACTATTGGCATTGCCCTCCCCAAGGTTTCAGAGTTCTTTCCTTTTAACTTTTCCCTGAACTGAACAAACAGCATCCCTTGCTGCCCCAGCTCACCCCCACCAGCACAGGTTGTCCTGGAAACCAAACTAGAGGAGCAGGCAGAATGTACGTCCCTTCTTCTACACCTGGCTTCCTCTGGGCCCTGATTCAATAATGATTTTCACAGCTGGACTAAAACAATTTCTTTGCCAGTTTCCTTTCTTCAGGCTACTTTCTTTGCTGCTCAGACTCTAGCCCTCAACTGAATCATACAGCACTACACAGAAAGAGTTGCGTTCCCTCCCTACTCCTTCCCTTAAACCAATAAATTTCCCTTGGAACTCGTGGGCTGCCTTGCCAGCCAAGCCAATGGCTGCAACTGAGTTAAATTGGTCTCGGCATGGTGCCTCAGTCTGTACAGCAAGAAGAACCACCCACTGCAGACGGGCTGCTGGGCCACTCTGAGATGAGCCAGGTGCCACCCCCAACCTGCCCAGGCGAGATGAGAGGAGAGGTCCTGACCCAGGCATCCTTGTGTGCCTTGCTTGCAAAGCCAAGCAGTGGTCCAGTAGGCAGCAGGCAGGACCCTGGTGATGGCTCTGTCTGTCTTTTGCAGATAAGCCCCTGGCCCTGCAGTTCATCGACTGGATCCTCAGGGGCACTGCGCAGGTTATGTTCGTCAACAACCCTCTCAGTGGCTTCATCATTGTTATAGGACTTCTGATCCAGAATCCCTGGTGGACAATTACTGGGGTTCTGGGGACAGTAGTCTCAACTTTAACTGCTCTTGCCTTAAGCCAGGACAGGTGAGTTCCTCTCTGCAGATCTCTTGGCAAGACATAGGAAGCAGAAAGGAGAAGCTTGTCCTTGGCAAGTCAGCCAGCCTTAGCCCAACAGCCAGCTGGTCTACTGAATGCCCACTTTAAGCAGGTCACTGATGGTCCCCCTTGAAATAAAGTGCTCTGAGCCACACCGCTGGGGGAGGGGCCAGTTCTGCTGGGATCAAGGCACTGGACAGTGCACATTCAGGTAGCAGTAACAACCAGCCTTTTGTAGAACTCAAAATTTCTTCAAACTTTGCTATATATTATTCCAACAGTCCCCAGATTTCCCTGATAGAGACCCTGGAGGTGATTATTAAGAAATACATTGTGGGCCGGGGAGATGGCTCAATGGAATATGCGCTTCCCTGGCAAGCACAAGGGCCTGAGTTCAATCCCCGGTTCTGTGCAAAAAAAAGAAGAAAAAAAAAAAAAGAAATATATTGTAAAGCTGGATATGATGGCATGTACCTATAATCCCAGGATTCTGGGAGCCTGAGGCAGAAGGATCATAAGTTAAACCTCAGCCTGGGCAACTTGGTGACTTTAGGAGACCTTAACTCAAAATTAAAATTAAAATTAAAAGGAATGGGCCCTGGGTTCGATCCCCAATATTATAAAATAAAAAGGGGCAGAGTACAGTTTCAGGCCAACTGCTCTCCTTCCCTCCTGTACATAGATATTCCCACTGAATGAATCTGAGAGAAGTATTTTTGACGAGGTCCTCTCAGAAGCTTCTGATGGCCAAAGACATTTGAGAAATAGAAACTAGATTAGCCCATATCTTACTATTTTTTCCATGTGGAAGCTTGAAGATCATAAATCAAATGTCAACAGCATTTTAAAATATTAAAACAATAGGACAAAACAAAGCCAACTAGAGCAATCCATATGCAGTACAGCTAAATATGATTGTGTGAAATTTTGCTTGATTTATGTTGGGATGCTATAACGGAGTCCTAGATCATAATATAAAAAATATTCCTTACAGTGGATTTCTCTCCTAAGACTTAAAAGTACCATCATGCCTTGCTGAGGACAGAGCCCAGGGTACCACAGTGGTCGCAGATGGGCTGTATCCTAAGAGCTTTTGGGGGCCTCCTCATGGGCACAGACACGCAGGGAAAGAAAGCAGCCCAACTTCAGCCATGGAGAACTGTACATAGTGCAATATGAAAACACTCCCTCTCCCTCCCTGCCTTCCTCCCTTCTCTCTCTCCCTTCTCCTGTGCCTTATACACACCCATACACACACACACACACACACACACACACACACACACACACCCTGTATCACACATTGAGACTTCTAAGAGATTTCCCTCTGAAATCCCCTGAAAATCAAAAGCAAAGAGCTTAGCCATAGATGAGTGCATAATTTACTTTACTCCTACTTCAGCAAAATAAATCAAGTGTGTGTGTGTGTGTGTGTGTGTGTGTGTGTGTAGCTATGTGACAGCTCAATACTCATGTGGTACGCCTTTTTGTAGTATTAGTGAAGGAATTATCTTAATTAGGCAAGTCATCTAAATTACTCCCGGGGTTGGGGGAAGGCCCAACAGGTGCCACCAAATTCCAATGAAAAGTACCCATGTCATCCTCAGGTCAGCCATCGCCTCAGGACTCTGTGGCTACAACGGCATGCTGGTGGGACTGCTGGTGGCCTTGTCCTCTGAGAAGTTAGACTACTACTGGTGGCTTCTGTTTCCTGTGGTCTTTACAACCATGGCCTGGTAAGGACGTCCTTCTCAGATTCATGGGCCCCCAAGATACTTGTGCTGTGCGGTCCAACATCTGCATAGAGGGGCTGGTTTGTATAGTAAGACACCATGAAAGCCCAAAAGACCACAAGTTTTTATTGGGTGGAGAATCCTCTTTGGGGGATAAATTTAATAACAAAGGCTAAAGTGTATTTAGCAGTTCCTATATGCTAAGCACAGTACCAAGCAGGGTGGGGTTGTTATGTTTGTCCTCAGTTTACAGAAGGAAAGACAAAGGTATGCAGAGATAAACTTGCCCCAGGTCACACTGTATAAAACTTTTAAACTGCATTTTCTTTTTCATTATGGGGAAAAAGAGAAAAAAAGTTAGTGCACTTGACACAGGAAAAATTCTGAAAAACCAAAAAAAAAAGTTAGTTTATTATATTTTATATTTTTGTTGTATTTTTTTCTTTTTTATTAATACAAGTTTATAATATATAATATTGATGTTTGACTGGAGGAGTTGGCTAGTGCGTATAACAGACCTTGCTTGTTTTCAATCCCTTCGCCTACCCTCTCCATCCTCCTCCCGTGATCCCCTCCCAATCTCCAGAGCCCACCTGCCCATTTCCTATCATCTTTCCTATACTTGATTCATTTGTTTATATTTTAGATTTCTCACATAGGAGAAAGCATGCAGTGTTGAACTTTCTGAGGAGTCTGTCTTGCTTTGCTTTGCATGGTGGCCTCAAGTTTTGGTGCAGGTTTTCTGAATCCAGAACCCGCACAATGAAGCCCCAGGCTGCATGGGAATCATTTATTGTGTGGTGTAACCAGAACCTAAGGGCTGAAAACTCCCTTGTAGTGGAATCAGAGCCTTCTGGTAACAGAGGACTATGTGTAAGGAATAGAACCTTTGAACTGGAAGCAGCAGTTGAGTTCTTACCCACAAAGGAAGGCGGCTAACAAATATTCCTTGAGGCCACCGAATGGGTGAGTGTTCACACTGAATGGGTGTGAGCATGCTCCTTAGTCCATCTGAGTTTACAGCAGGTCAGTGGCATGTCCAAGAGCCCGCTTCAGAGGGACCCCTTGCCCCAGCCTCTGACTGCATGAGTGTGTGCTGCTCTGTTCTCAACACTGCTCAGGCAGGGTGATTCATTCCTCTGCTCAGCAATAAATCAGACATGGAGATTTATTTTGAACATCCCTGAGAAGTAAACGTCTTTCTTTGGTTTCAGAGTGTGGAGTTACTAATTTAGCTTAAGCACTGTTTCATTACTTTTTAGTAGTGTTTGCAAATAAATTACTGTATCAAATAGTATTTTGTATTTTTTCTTGGGGTTTCTTCCTTTCTTCATGCATTGGGACAAAAAGGTAAGGCCACCATGTCTGTGGCTTTAATGCTACCCAAACATTTGTTCCCTGTGAGGATCAGAATTTGTCCTCCTTTGCATACATTTGGTTTATAACTACTCAGATTAAACCCATCAATACAGCCCCTCAGCCACATGGCACTGGGTGGCAGTTAGACTCAGTGCCCCCATGCCATTTTCCAACTTAACAGACAGGAACCATTGACACTTTTCCCTAGGCAGAGCTCTCTACCACGCTTCGGTACAGTCCTTAGTCCATCTGTGTGGTCTCTGAAATGCAATCCAGGCAGCGTTGGTTTTAACTGTGCCATTTTCCAGGTTATCCAGTGAACAAAGATTTGAGTGCCTGAGACTTTCGTTGGATACAGATTATCCTAGATACTGAGAATATGTGTGAACAGAGAAAGAACTCTGTTCTCTTGGAGCTTCCATTCTAGATAGAGACAGAGATTAAAAACTCATAAACTAATAAAAGGAGGTCATCTCAAGATACAATAAATATCTTCAAGTAAACAAAATGGCATCAATGAGACCAAGACTGATTGATTCTAGGCGTGGGTGATTAGGGAAGGCCACTTTACAAATGGGACGTTTGAGCTGTCACTTAACTGACAAGAAAACATCTGCCTGGTGAAGATCTGGATGAAGGGTGGTGTCACAGACCTTCCTACCTGGGGAAGAGTGATCTGTTCAAGAACTAGAGGCAGGACCAGTGAGGCTTGTGAATGAGCCACTGATAGAGGAGCAACAGAAGGTGGAGTCAGAGAGTGTTGATGAGGGCCAGCCTCATACATGCCGTAGATACAACAAGTCTTAGGATTTTTCTTACAACTAGTAAAAATAGGAAGCTGTTAAAGAGTTTTAAGCAGAGTTGTATATGGGTATAGTTTAAATTTAATTAAAGCCCTCTGCTTGCGTAGTAGAGAATGGATTTAGCTACCCCACAGCGTAGTTAGGAGTCTGCTATGATGACCCACAAAATGATGACAGGAGTTTGAAGTAGAGTGGTGTCTGTGAACATCAGCAGAAATGATTAGCTATGAGATATATTTTAAGAAAGACAGAAGCAACAGCACTTTCTGGAAGGCTAAGGATATTGAGGATAGGGTAAGAAAGTACAATGCATCCACATAATCTAAGCACCTAGGCTACAACAAATACCAAGAGAAACATATATTGGAGGCAGAGATTGGCTGCAATGCTTCCATTTAGATACTTTACATGTTAGACTTGCAAGCAGAGATGTTGAAAGGTAACAAGATGTGCAAATCTCAAACTTAGTGACACAGTCAAGATTTGAAAGGCAGGAACATATAGACAGTATTTTATCCAGAAAACTAAAGAATATCACACAAGAGGAAAGATTACAACAAAGAGAATAATCAAGATAGGGTTATAGGGTTTCCCAACATTTAGATGTCTAGCGGCAGAGGAGAAAAATCAGCAGAGGAAAGTAAAGGAGCAGATAAGAAGAAAACCAATAACGCTCAATGTCACAATAGCCCACCCAGGCAGTGAGAGAGATGAGCCTTAAGAAGATGAGGAATAGGGCTGGCCAGACAGCTCAGTGGATTAAAGCACCTGCTTAGGCAGACGCAGAAACCAGGGTTCAATCCCATTCAGCTCCACTGTTTCAGTCATGCCACAGCGATTGAAATTGGGCATGGTGGTGCTCGCCTGTAATCCCAGTACTTGGGAGGCTGAAGACAGGAGGATCACTACGAGTCCCATCTGAGTAGTGAGACACTGTAGACCTTGTTCTAAATACATCTTTTAAAAAGAGGATGAGAAATTACTGTGGCTATGTCAAAGTCAGTGTCACTGGTTCACTGGTGAACTGAACAGAGCTATTTCTGTGATGTAATGAGAACACACACCTGGCTGGAGCAGGATTAGGAATGACTTGTAGCAGGAAGCTGGGGATAGGGCCGGGGATTTAGCTCAGCCACACAGTGCCTGCCTGGCAAGTGTGAGGTCTGAGAACCAGAACCAAAAAAAAAGCTTGGGTTAAAAAAAAAAATGTGTGTGTATGTTACTGAGGATTGAACCCAGGATTTTCACATTAAGCTACAACTACAGCCCTTTTCAATTTTCAATTTTTTGAGACAAGTTCTTGCTAAGTCACTAAATTGCTCAGGCTGGGCTTGAACTTGCAATCCTCCTGCCTAAGTCTCCCTGAGTGTTGGGACTACAGGCACACACCACCTCATACAGCTGATTCACAGCCCTTTTGAGAAGTTTGCCATAAAAAAATAGTAGAGAAATGGAGAAACACCTGGTGTGGACACATGGTCAATGGGTGAGATCTTTAAAGGGAGGAGATAGCAAACATATTATAGACTGATGAGAATGAGATGCAGGAAAAAGAGAGATGGAAACAAGAAAAAGGGAATATTACAAAATTGAAATCATTGAGACTGATCAGATCCAAAAACCAGAGAAAATAATTAATTCAATAAGGAACAGGGATGCTTCCATCAAATGAAAGAGGTAAAGAGGCAGAGCATATAGGAATAAAGTAGACAAAGTGTGGATTTTTATGATCAGGAAAATGAAACATTTCTCATCTTGTCACTTCTGTTTTTTAATGAAGTAAAACCTGGTTGTTGGCTAAAATAAAAAGGAAGCAGACAGTAAAAATTTGAAGAGAAATGTGAAAATATGAAATGGTTCTCAGCATCTTGGAGACTCCATGTGCTGGGGATGTGCAGTAGTGTTTTCAGGCAGTTCTAAACGTACATGAGATGAATGGTCATTAAATAAAGGTAGACCAGTTGTCCAGATCATGTGATATCATGTTTGGTGTAGCCCCTAAGTGTGGACTCTGTGAAGTGCTAGGTATGTAGGGTGGTTGATCCCTCCCAGAGAAGAGAAAGTAAGAGAAATTAACATTTCTCACTCAGCTAGCAAGTACAGCAGTTATGACTGGCATTCAGCTCCACCTGTATCCAAAATTCATGCTCTTTCCAAGGATGAGGCTAGGAATACAGATGGTATAAGCAACTGAAGTTCCAGCACTGGGGAGGCTGAGACAGGAGGCTCACCAGTTCTCAGGGTAACACTTAGTGTCTTCGCTGAGCCAAAGCCTGCGCATGACCTGCATGGCACAGCAGCCTCCTCCTAGAAGGTTCTACTCCTAAAATGTTCTCATAACCCAGGATAGTAGCTGTTCTATGTCTTAATGACCCAGAGGCAAGAGGCAGCTTGTTTGCTTTAGGCACTGAGTCCTAGTCCCACCTCTACATATTTGATCAATTTCCTAGCTTCTGTGACTCCCAACATATCCCCTTTATTGTTTTGTTTTGTCAGAAATGGGTGTTCCACTGCAGTTAGAGAAGCTGTATTTTGAGAAGTCTTTAAAGGACCTTTTCATACTTGATGCCAGTCCAAAGATTTTAGGTACTTGAATTCAGCAAAATAGCCCAATACAGTCCAATAGTCCATAATGGTAGTGAGTTATCAGCACAACTGGCAATTGTCAGAAGTTGTTTACTTGAGCCTTTTACAGCTCAGCATATTAATATAGCTTGACTTTTTATACATTGTGGTTATATTTTTTAGCTGGATGGTTAAGACCAAGTCCTGAGATAAGCATCCTGTATGGTTAAAGACAGCTATTAGTCACTAGGCAACCTCGTGTCACATGTTACTAACTTTGCAAAAATATAAATAAAAGACCATTTCATTGTGAATATATATATATATATATATATATTCACTATATATATATATGATAGTTAGGATAGATATACAGCTACTTTCTCTTAGTTCATTAAGAACAAAGTTTTGTTGTTTACATGAGATATCATGTCTGTATCTTATCTTCTGAATAACTACAATGAAGACAACAATATGCAATGTATTAATTATTGTAACTATCTACTAACCTGTTTTGAAACTGTCTCATTACTATTTTATCCTTTTTTCATTAAAATGAATTTTAAAAATGACCCAGAGGCTATAATTTCATTTTGTAATAATCACATTTTAATTACTTTTCTCAGCTTAAGAAACAAAAAAATATTTAAATTGCTAAGTGTGATCAAAAGATGCAAAGAATGTTTAAATTAAAATTTTGTGACACTAATGCCCTTCAAAATATTCCTTCTTGCATTGAACATACTTATCCCATCATTCTTGCCACTTTCTGAAGCAGTTCTAGAAGTTCTTTTTCATGAATAGCTGCCTCGATGTTCTGAATTGATTAAAAATGTTTATAGCAATTTCTGTCACGTAAAATCATTATAACGTGTCCTTATTCACTGGATCTGGCACCATGAAACTTTTGGCTCTTCTCCAAAGTTAAAATGACCACGAAAGGGGGACTAGAGAGATAGCGCAGCATTCTAAGTGCCTGCCTGGCAAGTGTAAGGACCCGAGTTCCACAAGCCATGCAGGCCCTGAAACCAGGAGTGGCGATGCACACCTGTAATCCCAGCACTGGGGAGGCTGAGACAGGAGGGCCGCCATGAGTCTGAACTGCATAGCAAGACACTGTATCGAATAAATAAATAATTTTTTAAAAAATATTTTTAAATGACCACAAAAGGTAAGAACTTTGAGTTCATTCATGACATCAAAGCAATCATGGCAGCACAGCCAGCGACATGACCAAGAACTTGCAAAAATGCTTCAGAAAGTGACAAGGACAATGAGTTAAGTGTTTTAAGTAACACAGAATGCATTGATGAGAATTAATGGCAATACGTCTTTTACTATAATTTTTTATTTCAGCAGTCACAATGCTTTCTGATCATACCTCATTTTATATGGTGTTCTCTACAGAATGTTTTATTTTTTAAATTTATTTCCCAAAGGCATAAGTTCATATTGAACATCTTATTTCCAAACCCAGATCAGAGGACCACTGGACTCTCAAGGAAGTCAGAAATAAATATAACAAGGAGAGGGATGGTGGGTGGTACAATGGTCACCACTAACACCACTAGTTGGTATCCACCGAAGTTCAACCTAAATGATTGACCTTAACCTCTTCATCTTCAGCCCAGTTGTTTCTAGCGCCTTGAGTTCCATCCTCAGCAAGTGGGACCTACCAGTCTTCACACTGCCCTTCAACATTACACTGACCCTGTACCTGGCAGCCACAGGCCATTACAACCTCTTCTTCCCTACAACACTGGTGGAACCTATGTCTTCAGTACCAAATATCACTTGGACAGAGATTGAAATGCCCTTGGTAAGTAACCTAAGGGTGATGTGTTGAGGTCCTTAGATTCCACTAGATTCCCCTAGAGTCTCACTGATCAGCTTATAGGTTGCCAAGCCTCTTGGTTTCACTAGAAACCTCTCTACCAAATGATGAGCTTCAGCAGAGACCAGAAAAGCTTAGTGCTACATCTGCACTGCCTCTCAGCAAGTATCTACCAACTATCTAAAATGTGCTGGACACATTCTCATTGCTGACAAATGCAGGAACTAAGACAACAATATCCCTGCCCTCATGAAACATATACTTATGTAGGAAAACAGACACCATGCAGGTGAACAGATACTAGATGTTAAGTTGACAGTTGCAGAAAAAAATTATTTAACAGGAAAAATTTGATAAAGGGGCCAGAGACTAAAATAAATGTTTAAAATTAAGGTTTTAATGTATCAATAGAAGACAGAAGGCCAATTTTCATGAACTCCATATATCAGTTGTTGTCAAGAAACTATTGCTCCTTGCAGATATGAGGCAATGTCTTGAGATAATTTTCATTGTTAAAACTAGAAAGGTATTACACGTATCTAGTAAGCAGAAGGCAGAGGAGCCCCAAACATCCTACAGCTCATGGGACAGGTTCCTTCTGCCATGAGGAAAAAATTAGACAGTCTAAAATGTCAACTGTCAAAGTTGAGAAACTGGGCTCTAATGATACTATCAAAAATGTACATATTTATTCTACTGAACTTAGATATCAAGAATAAAAGCATGTAAGAAAACCTTAATGTAGGAATAAGTTTATAGAATTATTCTGGCCTTCATAACACAGAAATAACTGATAGCTAAATCAAGCTTATCAAAGACTCTGTTGCAAGCCCTTATTCCATTACTTCATTTCAGTATCATTATCCTATTTTATAGCTAAGAAGACAAAGACACAGAAAGAATCAGTTGCCCTACATAGGTGGTGGCAAACCACTGGCACATATACTATAGTGCCTTTCTATTACATTGAAAGCTCTAAAAGGTTCACCACCACTGCCCTTGATCAAGCTGTAGCTAATCCGTGTGGTTAATACCCGGGCAACTAAACTTTGAACCATCACAGTCTAGTCTAAGGCAGAACATGTGCCCTCTGTTTGATCCCAGTGAGATAAAATCACTAATTAAAGCAGCAGGCCACTTCAGCAGGTACCTTTAAGCCTTGGAGTATGTATTCTTTATATGCCTGGGAAAGTCATCCCCCTTTGTCTTTCACCCATTGCCTTAGCTCTGCTTTCTAGGGTGATTCAGAATATCACTTCTGTGACTGTCTTCTGAAAATTTGAGAACATATCCCACATCCTCAACTATTGTTTGTCTGAAAGGACTTTTAAGCCCTTGCCACCCAGCCCCACTGGTTGTCTCTGTGTACCTGGACCTCAGTGTGGCCCTCTGTTGGCAATGATCTCCAGAACCCCCGCTCAGGAGTCCTTCAAGGAAACCCAAGTTGTAACTCTAAACCTCTCAAGAAGGAAATGCTCCTCCACTTCAGATGGAAATGCCAGTGCAAATAGTGCAAAGGCTTGTTAAGTTTTTGTCTTTTTAAGTTTTATCTTTTTTTATTTACACATGTGGGTCTGGCTTATTTCACTTATGAGTATATCTTCAAGTTGCATCCACTTATATAGGAAGCCTTCGAGTTTATTTTTCTTTGTAGCTGAGTAGTACTCCATTGTATAAAAACACCACATCTTTTTCATCCATTTCTCAGGTGATGGGCATTTTGGTTGTTTCTAAGATTTGACTATCACAAATTGTGCTGCTACAAACATAGGCGCACATATATCACTATGACGTGATGTTTTCAGTACTTTTGGGAAAATTCCCAGAAGGAGGATAGCTGAATTGAATGGGATTTCCAGTCCTAATGTTTTGAGGAGTCTCCACACTGATTTCCATAATGGTTGCAACCGTCTATATTCATATATACAAAATAGTTAGGAGAGATATACAGCTACTTTTTCCCAGTTTAATGAGAAGAAAGGTCTGTACCAATACTGTTTAGACAAGATTTCATGTCTTGTTTAAGTTTTATCTTGGGATGGGGGCTGGCCTACAGTGGGATCAGAGGCAGGGTTAAGGCTTAAACCCAAAAAACTAGAAAGGACAGAGCTCCTCTCTCTGGTAGAAAACTACTGGGGAAGGAGCAAGGACAAAAATTTAACACATGGGTTGGGAGAGATAGCTCAGTAGAATAAGCACTTGCCTGACAAGCACAGGGTCCTGAGTTCAATCCCTGGTACCACAAAAGAAAAAAAATTGACACAATCATAAAGAATCAGCCCTATGGCAACTAGGAAAATTGACCTGGGGTACACAGACCCATTGTCTCTGATCTCTACCCAAAGGACATTGTCCAAGTGCCAACCACATTTAATGTGACCAGCAACAAAGGTTCACCAAGTCTCCAACCCAAATTGTGAGAGTGGACAGCCCAGTGCCCAGGAGCCAGTGTGGTATGGGTCCCAGAGAAGAAACACTTCTCATTATCTCCAAAATAAGTAATTGGAAAGTAGCTGATCTGAGTTCTGGCTACCTCAGGCTTACTCTCTCACCTCCACGCCAGCCAGCTTTCTGACAACTAGTATGACTCTCTTGCACACTATCTAGGTCTGAGTTTTGAAAACTCAATGCCATTTTACTCTTTCTCTAAAACAAGTGGAGGGAGTTCCTTTCTGTTCAGCCAGCTTGTTGTTTATCCTGGGAATCATAAGGAGGACAGAGGAAGCAGGGTGCTCAGTAAATTTCCACCACACACCTGACTGCCCTTCACCCTGGGGTGTCAGCTGCCACCTATCACCCCAGTGCACAGTTCACCAGACAAAATATGGATCCCGGCAGAGGAGCTTCATTCTGAAGCCAGGCTCCAGTCCAAGGCCACTTGTTCCCTCATTCCTCTCATTCTTGCCTGCTTGGGCTTACAACCCACATTCTGGGATGGACAGGTGGAAGCTGGACTCCCTTAGCATTCCGCATTCCTCAGATGTTGGCAAATTGTGAGAGATTTGTTAAGTGGATGTCCAGCCTGTTCCCCACAAGTAAGCTCAGTTCCCTAGACTGGTACAAAGTGTTTTCTGTGTTCCTATAAACTAAGACAGGGCCCTACCCTGCCATTCATTTCACAAGATTATAGACTCTGGTCCTAATAGTGTATGGTTACTGAAAGTCACCCATTTGGAAACAAAGATGAGCAAGGATGGAAAACCCCCTGGGTTTCCTCAAACACTTTTCCCTCAAGAAATCACACTGATACCAGAGTCAAATCCTGTTGTTTTATGTGTAAGATGTTTGATATCCAGACAGATAGTGAGGTTAAACTCAACTGCCTATGTTGTAGGATAAGAATAAATAAGCCTCTCTTCTGGAGGGTTAACAACATAAGTTTGCAGACCAAAAATTAGAGAAAAAGAAGGGCTGCAAGACAGCCATTTTGGCCCTAGCCTTTCAAGGTCAGTGAAGACTCAGGACATAGGAGAATGTGTACTGTAACATCATGCAATTCAGTTGTGTCCCAAATTTTCTGATCAAGGAGATTACAGGGCCACAGAGGAAAATGAACAATGATGTAGAGTGTGCCTAAGGAGAGTCACATGGAGAGAAAATATTCTCTCAGGCTTTCACAGAAAGCAAACTGGTCAAGCAATGGCCGTGACTCATCCACATGGCTGACACTGACAAAGGATCTACAAACTGCGGTACAGGGTTTCAGGATAAATCTTGAGGGGATTTGACTGAACTTACCAGATACAAAAGTTACATTTTTTGTTATATAGGTCTTGCTTTATCTTGGTCTTAACCATCCAGCAGAAAAGTATGAAAACAAAGTATAAAAAATAAAGCCATATTAATAGGCTGAGCTGTAAAAGGCTCAGGTCAACAACTTTGGACATTGCCAGTCTTACAGAAAACCCACTACTATTATGGGCTACTGGATTATATTGAGATATTTTGCTGAATTCATGCATCTACAGTATTTAAATGACAATGGAATGCCCCTCTCTGACAAAACTAACCAAAAAAGTGGGATAGAAATGAACGACCATTTTGTATCGGCATATTCAAAATAGTTAGGATAGATATACAGCTCCATTCTCTTAATTCAATGAATAAAGAGGTTTGTTCTAATAGTGTTTGAGACAGGATATCATGTCTGCATCTTGTACAATGAATAACCACTAAGACAACAATACGCAATGTATTAATTATTGAAAATGTTCTAGTAGTAATCGATTGTGAAACTGTCTCATTGCTATTTGTTTCTCAATAAAATTATTTAAAAAAAAAACCCTGCTGTTAAAAAGAACAAAATGTCATCTAAGAGGGGCTATGTTTTTAGCTCCCCATATCTACAGCTGATTATACCTAATCAAGTGGGTCAGTTTATAATCTAACCCTTTAGGTCTCATCCAAATCCCCCTAACCTAACCTACCTAATCTGATCCAAACTCTGTGATACATCAGATTCACCTAGTCCCAGAGAGATGTCCCATACCTATCAGATTAGATTGTGCATAGAGGAGCCAGACCTCAGTACATTTTCTAAAGTTCCCTACATGATCACAATATACAGCAGGGTTTGGGAACCACAAGGCTAATCAATATATGTTTACTAAGCATTCATTGTGTCTCCAGATATAAAGAGCCTTATTCCCTTAAGAGCCATAAGACTCAGTGATAGAGAAAAAACTAAATATTTTAAAGTTAGAAGGTCATGTGCCACACCAGGTGCCTTGTGTTACAGAAGAGAGCACAACAGCCTGGATGAAGAGGTGGCATATTTATGGCTACACAAGAAGTTGAGCATAACCTCCCTCAACACCAGAGCCCTGACCTCACAACCCACAGCTCTCACTATTCTACTTTTCTTATTCTTTGCCCTTAAGGGTTCAAAACATATGGACAATTAAGCCTGACCAAAAAGACCACCTGTCATCACCTCCAAGTCAATCCCCTCCAATTCTAGCACCACCAAGTCACTCTGAGGCTCAGTGTTGGCCTGACTTCATGCCATCTTCCATATTGTCCACACAGTGCTCTTCCACAAGGCGAAATGATCCTCAGAAGCAGGAAAAATGCCTTCTTCTTCCTCAAGGCCCACAAGCTTCAGAGCATCACTGAGCTTAGGAAAGGACAGCACCCACCAACAGGGATGTGTCAGTGGTGGAGACAGACTGAGGGTAGTAAAGACCTTAGACCTGAGCAGTGGCATTCAGAGAATTTAAGCTCATTGCATTTGGCACAATGATCCATCACAATGGCCTTGAATATTTCTAAGATTTCTAGAAATTTAGATGAGGCCCAGAGGAAATCTTCTAATGTCCTGAGAATCTCAAAAGCAGTGTAAGGAAGAGAAGCTTTCTAGGCTCTTCAAAGCTTCTCCTCTCAGAGGTAAACCCCATGCTTCTCAGAAGCACCTGGGCCCAGGGCCATGTTCTTCCCTCCCTGACTGTGTGAGGGATACTAGATGCCTAGTAGGCATAGGGAAGGGGGGAGCTATTTGTCTCTGCCTACGAGCTCTCTATCTTCTCTCACACTGGAGGGCATTGTCATCCTCCCGTTCCACTCATTAGTTTCTAGCAGTGACTCAGTCCTGGCCCTGGGGCTGGTCTTTGCATCATCAGCCTACATTCCAGTGACTTGGATTTTGTTCACTTTGCAGCTGTTACAAGCCATCCCTGCCGGGGTGGGTCAGGTGTATGGCTGTGACAATCCCTGGACTGGCGGCCTAATCCTGGTGGCTCTATTCATCTACTCACCACTCATCTGCTTGCATGCAGCCATTGGGTCAATTGTGGGGATGCTGGCAGGTAGGACAGAGATCCCAGTCTTCCGGGAGGTGCTTGGGATAGCGCTCCTAAGTCACTCTCCTGGTACATGACGATACCCTAGATGTATTCTCTTCGCTGAAGTTTCAAGGCACTATTGGGGGTGGGACCTATTTTTCTCTTTCTTGAGCCTCCTGAGGGAGCAGGCTGCAGGAGCTGCAGGTCATTCTAGGTACTGAGCCCTTCAACTAAGGGTAGAGGAGGGTAAGCAGTGGGGGAGAGGAGAAGAAATCACCATGCTAAAGTCCATGTGGCCCAGAGCATTTAATTTTTAAATGATTTAAAGGAAAAGACTTTCCCCAAATTGGGCTGACATTTCACATTCCTCCATATATGTGTACATATGTACACACATTTGTATATGGATATGTTCTTCTCCACCATAGAGCCTCAAAATGAAATAGAGGGCTTTTGGGTAGCAGTGTGGTTTTGTTTTTTTGTTTTTGTTTTCTACATATACAAATGCTTTTCAAAGACTTTTTGTAAGCAATAACTTTATAATTTTTTTAATTAGAAATAATTTCAAATACATTAAAAAATTACAGAAGTAAATACAAATGGTATCTATTAATTCTTTACCTAGATTCACCATATTGTTCACACCCTGACTGTTAACAATAATGTCTCTCTGTCTATGCAGATCTGTGTAGGCAGAGAATCTTTCTGACTCATTTGAAACAGGATGATTAAGTTGAAAATTTTTCTTGCTAATAATGCACCTTCTGCCTGCTTAGGCAAGTGCAGGAACCGGGGTTTGATCCCCAGACACCACATGCCACACCAGCCCCACCCCCTGGGCATGCTGAGCTGGCTACTGAAACCAGGTATGGTGCTGCACACCTGTAATCCCAGCACTGGGGAAGAAAAAAAAAAAAAAAAAAAAGGCAGGATCACCATGAGTCTGAGCTGTATAGTGAGACCCTGTACCAAATATATTTTTTTTTAAATTAAAATTAAGAAAACTGCAGCTTCTCCAGCTAAAGGGCTAGGGGATGCCTGAAGTCCCTTCTAGGCTCTCTCTCACTCCAGAAGCAGTAACCTCTGGGTGAAGACTGGGGCCTGGAGACCACTGCTTCCTTCTCACTGTCAGTGCCCTAAGCCTGGGTGCCATTGGCAAAGGCTCCTATGACAGGCAGGACTGTGATGAGTGAGGTGAACTGCAGGGAGAAAGGCACCCTCAGACCTGGCGCTAGCCATGAGGTGACCTAAAATAAATGCCACACTTTGTTCCACAGCCCTAACAGTGGCCACACCCTTCGAGACTATCTACATGGGCCTCTGGGGCTACAACTGCGTCCTCTCTTGCATCGCCATCGGGGGCATGTTCTATGCCCTCACCTGGCAGACCCACCTGCTGGCCCTTGTCTGCAGTAAGTATTTGGGAAAGTGACAACCAAGTCACTCTGGCTATTCTCCACACACCACTCATGGGCTAGAACACCACCTATGTTCTAGAACAAACCCTGCTCATCCCCCAAATGAATGGGAACAAGCCAGAAATGTACAAGAAGTCCTAGCTCTATGCAAGGCCACTATAGATGTGGGAAAGTAAAACAACTAAGTACAAGCTTTAATCTCTGTTACCACAGTGTGGTAGGAGACAACTGTAAAGACAAACAATGTCAGACAAGCTGTCTAATGTCAGGGTGTGGTATAGGCCCCAAGTCTTCAGGAAAGTGCGTAGGTTCCATGGCCTTGGTCTGAGCTCTTTCAGGGTAGTGGCTGGGGGGAAGGGTAGGCTCCGGGAGGCCGAGTCTGAGGGTCCTTCTCCTCCACAGCCCTCTTCTGTGCATACATGGGAGCGGCTCTCTCCAACCTGATGGCAGTGGTAAGTTTGGATGCTCCTAAACACTCCCCTAAGTGTAGTCCCCACTTTAGATTTTCCAGACACTTGGGATTTTGGGGAAGAATTATGAATGAGTTATAGTAGCTGGTACATTCCCCAATGTTTGTGTCAAGTTTATCCAGGGTGTACCTGGAGAGCAGGGACAACTGAAGCTGTAGGACTGGATGTGGGAGAGCATCCCTAAGTGCATTTTCATCTTCAACATTAAAAGATTTTATGTACACAAAGTTATCAACACCTCAAATTTCTTGACCAACTACTCTGACATTCCAAACCCGTAACACCAATGCCTCCACTGGGAGAGGGTCCCCATCTTCAGCCCCCTCCATATCCTTACTCCAGGTCTTGAGCTCAACACAAGAGCCCAGAAACATTCTTTAGGCCGCAATGCTTTTATTTTATTTCTAGGTTGGTGTGCTGCCAGGCACCTGGGCCTTCTGCCTCTCTTCCCTTATCTTCCTGCTCCTGACAACTAACAACCCTGCCATCTACAAACTCCCACTCAGCAAGGTCACCTACCCAGAGGCCAACCGCATCTACTACCTGACAATGAGAAACCCTGAAGAAGCGAAGTCTCCCAGCGGTGACTAGCCCAGATCCTGGCCGAAACGCTCTTGCTTGGACACCTGTGGTTTCAACTCTGGGGCAATCAGCACAGCGCTTACCTTCTTTGCCTCTTCTGGCACCTGTATCGAATCAAACACACCTGTAACTCCCTCTCCTCAAGCCTGATTTTCTCTCTCTCCCAAATCTTCAAAGCTATCCATTGTGAAACATTAAAAGAAGTTGGTGATAAGATTGCCAAAGTTAGGAATAAGGAGTGTGTTTTACATGCTGTTGGCATAAACCAAAAACAGTTCTTGGGGAAGGTAAACAAGAGATGATATTCTTGGCTTGTTTAAGTAAATAATAGATGCTGTGGAATTGAAATTACTGAGTGGCTCCCAGGTAAATACGAACTTGGGCAGTGGGGAGAGCAAATCCAGGTCATGTGCTAAGGAGGAAGCCCCTGTCCCCTGTAAAACTATCATCTAATGGGCACCTGCAGCCTTACACAGAAGAGAAGAACTACACATGGATGGGATTTTAAAGTCAAAACATGGATAATTGAGACACTGGGAGCACGTGAATATGAGGAAATGAATATTCAAGTTTGCCCTTCCACTGGTAGTTACTGCCCCTTTTCCAACACTCATGATCAAAAGTCCACTTCTATATTGTCATTAAAATAAAATTCCAAATGGCTTACCCTCCCTTAACACCCCATTTCTCCAATGCTCCTTCCCCACCCTAAGGAGCTAAAGCTTCTATAATTCTTTCACTGTTTCCCTCCCGAGTGCATCAGTCCTAAAACACCTGTACTTCTCCAACCACCTCCCACTCTAAATTTTATTAAGATTATTCTTAATTTTTCTTCTTGAAATATGCTTCTTCTTTCTGCAATAATCTTTAGTTGGCCCTAACACATATACACTCTATCCTCGTCCATTTGGAGTGTACTATTTGTGCTAGGCAGGTCACCTGCTATCATTCTTTCCTCTATTCTTCACATTCCCCTGTCTCGCTACCTCTGATCTGATTCATTTATTATTTATTTAACTGTGTATCATTTTCTTTACATAATATTCCAGAAAATACAGATGCCATATTCTCTGACACTTTGTGTGTCTGTGGCTTTCTTTCGTGTAAGAAGTGAATGGCATTGTGGCTGGGTGTGGCTTGGGGGGCACTCACCCCTCTTGGCTGTCTGTAGATGCTGTTCCTTCACTTTCTGTTCTTCCATTGCTACAAATGGAAAGCCTGAGGCCAATCTCCTCCTTTTCTTTTGTGAATAATCTGTCTTTCTTTCTAGATGACTGTAAGGTGTTCTCTTCATCTTTGGGGCTCAGGAGTTTTATGAAGGTAGGCCTATGTGCCTTTTCACATCTCTCCTGCCTTTACATCTGTAAACTTGCCTTTTTCCATCTCAGAGACTTTTCATCTAACATTTGTTTTACTGTGCTTTTCTTCCACCCCTTCCATCTTCTCTCTTGGGAGCTCCCATGCCCGTGTTAGGGCTCCTTGATCTCTAATCCAAGTTGCTTATCTTCTTCACAGTTTTAATTTTTGTTCTGCTTTGGGATATTTCTTCTACTTGATCTTCCAGCCACTGATTGAGATCCCAAGAGTACCCTTTTCTTCAATTCAACAGATAAATAGAATTTTGGGGTTTAAATATAATGGATTTAGTTTTAGTTTTAGAAAATCTTTGGGTTAGGGGCCAAAACTTCCTGACATGTGTGTTCACATTATTCTTTTGTTGTTGTCTATATTCTCTTGCCTCTGAAATGAGCTAGAGGGTCTGGTAACTTTCTACCCTAAATTTCAGCCTGTTCTCTAATTCCATTATAGATGGACTTCTAGGTTGGTTCCCCAGGGCTATGTGCAGAGAAATCCTGCCTTCTGCTTGGACCTCATTCATTCATTTGTCCAGGAGACATTACCTGAAGAACTATTAATATGTTACCTGAGCCCTAGGCTTGACAATAAACCAGGAAAGAATCAGACCAGCTCTTGACTTCAAGGAATTTATTTTATGGGGTCTCACCTAGCCAGGTGAATAGTTCAACCTGAGATCGAGATGAAGCTAGTCTCTCAGATGACCTGGGCCCACTTCAGTTCACAGCGTGTTTTTGTCTTGAGGAAGTTATCTGGTTGGCTTGGCCTTCTGTTTAGGAAATGTATCGGGCATGATTTTTAAGAGTTCCAAGAGAATTTCTGTGCCTCCTCTTCTGTCTCCTATGTTGCAGTTACCTGCTGCCTAAGCATTCCCAACCATCCCTTTAACTTAAGGCTTTGAACCTCTTCAAATGTAAACAGTCCTGGGAAGCACACAGTAAGCATGACCAGTCATTTGCATCTCAGGTTGGAGGGGCCATTTCTGAGAAAAGGCTTGAGGGAAAATTCAGGGAACATACAAAGAAAATATGAACTGAACATTTTGAGGTAGTCTTTGGCAAAACAAGGCCTGCTGAGATTAGGATAAGCTGGGCGAATGAGGTCTGGAGTCCCCTTTTCCTTCTGGATGTGAGTATGAAGCTGGTTGTATTTGGCTTAAAAAGAAGTGAGAAGGCCGTGTCTGTCTGCAGCAGGAGATGACTTGTGTACTAGAAGTCAATTAAATGTTGTTCCAATGCACAGAGCAAAAGGTGGGTGTAATAAGCAGACCGATGGAGTTGGTGGAGAGAGGTGCTTCGTACCTAGGGGAGCTGCCTGAGAAATGATGCCCCATGAGACAATGGAGGCACAGGGACTGGAGTTCTGTTGAGGACAATTGCTTGGGCAAGGTGTTGGGGAGCTGAGCCGCAGGACCACTGCAGCTTCTCTGTTCCAACTCCGGCTTTCTATGACTCTGTGGTTCAGGATTCCTAAAGATGACTGAGGAAGAAGTACAGCTAGGGTGAAAAAAAAAAAAAAAGTACAAGAACATGGTCATGAAAAGAACCAAAACCATCCCACTATTACCCTTGCAGCTTTTTCTAGAGCTTGGCCAGCTAGACATTTGGTCAGTTTACCAAAACACACAGCCTGGCCATTTTAAGTACACAGACTGGACCAACAGAACTCAGCTAGGACTTGAGCTGCATTGCCCTACCTTCAGAGGGTCCCTTCAAGCCACAGTGTCCCAGCTAGCATGGTGGCCGCATCATACCCATGGGCCCTGGTTCGTGCTTCCTATAAGACTCTGAGCTTTGTTCCTTTGGGCCCTGAATGTTGTGAAGGCCTGGGGAAAGCTGTCATCTAAACCAGGCAGGGAATGGCAGTTTTAGTGCGGGCATGATTTCTCAATGATAGACTCATTTGGCAAATTTAAAGCATTTATATGAGGTTACTGTTATCATCATCATCATCATCAGCAGCAGCAGCAGCAGCAGCAGCCTAGGCTCCCTACCTTTAGCCATTCAGAGAATTCAGAGGGAACTAGAAAGTCCAAGGCCAGGAACAGGAACAATGCTCAGCGGTACAGCACCTCCCTGGCAAGTGCAAGATTCTGAGTTCAATCACTGGTACCAAAAAAAAGAAACCAAGCAATTCCTAGTCCCCCAAGAGTCCTTAGCTCTCTGTGCATTGATGAGCAGGAGCCCCAGCCCCTCCTACAGCTGCCGAAGCAGAGTGTGGCAGAGGATGCCGCACCTTAGAGAATAGCCAGCGCCTGCTTACATTTATTCCTTGTACACTGGGGCCTCTGACATCCTGGTGCTTAGCTCTGTCATCCCTCCTCTACAAGGCTGGAAATAAAGGAAGTCTACTCATTCTTCTGATTAACTAAACAGGAAGATCCACAGTCATAAACAGATCTCTTGAAGAATCCTTAATACTCAAGCTCTGGCCTGTGGTGGGACCTGCAGCATAGGATTTCATCTTGGCCTTTTACTTTCCAAGGCCACACCTTCAGTCTGCCCCACTCCAGCATGTATGTCTGATGCTATCTTCTAACAACTGTGGTTCTGTTTAACTCACGGACACACTGGACTTTAGGTACTTCTTTGAAGGTGGTCACTCCTTTCTTTCCAACTCGGTTCCATATTGTTTGCAAGTAGCACTTCCCTATTGTGTCAGGGCTCATCTACTGATGCTCAGAGAGCTGGAGTGAGTGCACCACAAGGATTCAAGAGCTCTAGAGAGAGGCCAGAGGTAGAGGGCAAGGGACAGGCACCCAGGGCTGAGCCAGTGGGCTAATTGGTGGGAGGACAAAGAAGAGTGTTCAGGCTCAGCCCCAAGCCTTGGCCCTGTGCTAGCAACATCCAGGGAAGTCCCTGTGCTGGGCACCCATCTGCTCCCCACACACTGCCCGCCTCTCCCTGGAATTCTGGGGAAGGGGGAGAGGATCCTTCCGCCCCCTTTGTTTGCTTTTCTTCCTCAGAAGTTTCTTCCTGTTCAGGACCCCTCTTCCACAGCTCTAAAACACCTGGTGCGGTGGGAAGGGGACCTTTGACGTCAGTGGGGGCAACTGTCTACTCAGGTGTAGCTAATTTCCTCTGTGTGAGGCTTTGTTTCTGATCCTGGGTAGGCCACCATTCTCCACCCCTGAGTGTAGGTTGGGGGTGAAGGTGGTACACAAATGTAGAGGTTGATGACCCATCATACTCGTGAAGCCAAGCAAAACATGTTTGGATTGCCACCCCCACAAACTCTAGCCCACCGCACCTGTGGCCTCATGGGACTTGAAAGCGCCAGAGTCCCTAATATATAGACTCAGAACACGTTCTGAACACAAGGGTTAGGTCATTCTCTTCTGGATCTGAGATCCCAGTGGGCCAGGACCCCAGTCAGAGAGAGCTAAGAGGCAAGATTTGGAAATCTCCACAGAACACGAAAGACAACATCTAGCATTAGGCTGTGCAATGCCTTCCATCGAGCCACTGATGGAAACACTGCTCCCCAGCCTGCACCCTGTCTGTACCAGGAATTAAGGCAGCTTATTGAGGTTGGAGGCAAATTGGCCCCCTGAGGAGACAACACTTAAATAATTGCTTTCAACGCAAATGCTGGCACTAGAATTCTAATGAGAAGAAGTCACGCAGGAGAGACAACAGGAAAGCT